GTGTGTGTGTGTGTGTGTGTGTGTGTGTGTGTGTGTGTGTGTGTGTGTGTGTGTGTGTGTGTGTGTGTGTGTCTGTCTGTCTGTCTGTCTGTCTGTCTGTCTGTCTGTCTGTCTGTCTGTCTGTCTGTCTGTCTGTCTGTCTGTCTGTCTATCTGTCTATCTATCTATCTATCTATCTATCTATCTATCTATCTCTATCTATCTATCTATCTATCTATCTATCTATCTATCTATCTATCTATCTATATATATATATATATATATATATGTATGTATGTATATATATGTGTATGCATGTATGTTTGTATGTTTGAATGTATGTATGTATGTATATGTGGATGTATGTGTATATGTATATGTATATGTGTGCTATATATATATATATATATATATATATTATATATATATATATAATTAATAATATATATATTATATAATATATATATATATATATATATATATATATATATATATATATATATATATATATATACATATATATACATGTATGTATGTATGTATGTATGTATGTATGTATGTATGCATGCATACATATATGGGTGTATTATGTGTGCATTAGGAGACCAATATATTCCTTTCAAAAATATATAGAAATAATATATTCAAAAACAAGAAATACCCTCTGACTAATTATCTTAAATTTCCTTTAGGAAATGAATGTCTTCCTTTGTCCATGCGTAACAAGTTCACAAAGGCAGTATCTTGCGAACTGTTTAATTATCTATATTGTTGCCTGTCAGCACTTACTTTCAGGTAAGATTTCTTTACAATGATTACAGTACATCGTTATCGAGATCTACTGAATGTTATATAAGAAATTTATTCAGGTTTATTCATAAAATCAAATTGCAGGTAATTAGTGTACTGACAATCAAGAGGGTCTTTACAGGTGGAGGGTACTCCATCATTATGCACATTTATCATTTTTTATACAGTCTGTGAAGACATATTATGCATTACATCCTTCAATTATTTCAAATATACCATATATTTGATACAGCAATATACATACAAAATAGTATACCTTATAGACTAAATTATGCCCAAATAATGCTACAGGATTGACGCCACTTAAAAATATCAATACCTCTAATAAAAATATAAAAGAATTTCCCTTTTTTCTTTAAGTCCCAAACCACAGAGCAAACAGCAGCAGCAACTCACTGCCACTGCCTCCAATACTACAGGCCTACCCTAATGATACTATGTGTCAAGTAACTTACAAGATATATGTTATCACCCCAATGGCCCACATGTCTGTGGCAAGGCACAGCGGCTCATAGTTGACAATCTCTGGGGCCATGAACTCAGCGGTACCTGCATTACATGTGGATGATATATCATACAAATAAAGGGTTAATTTAATTAATAAAAAGAAACATACAAAAAAAATCAAGTTAATAAAAGGAATTTAAATTATTTTCACTGATCACTTATCAAAAACAGCAACTAAGGTAGTTTATGATTGGAGTGGCAGTGCATTCTCAGATATCCGCTTCAACAAGGTCATAATCGCTATGAAAATATCAATATTGATATCACACTAGGAGTATATGCATATTTAACATCAAACTACAGCCATGAGAATTTCTTAATAGTTCCTGAGAGGTAATAATTCTTAAAACCATTAGATGACTAATTCAAAACTGATTAGAGAGGCAAATGACCCAAAGCCTGCTATCAGGGTCAGTCACTTTCAACCCTGCCATTCCAATAATGAGTTAAGTTGCCACACTCAAGAAAATTACAACTAAATTAACCTCTCATTACTCATACATCAGTGTGAAGGACAGATACAAGGGACAGCAAATATCTACACTGACAGCAAAGATTATAGAATGAATATGTTTGTCAAGACAATATACTCTGAGAGAAAAGACTAATTGTCAATGGCATATTTCAAGTTAATCATACTATTACTTATTCTGTGAACAATTTCCAAGAGCTGTTGACATCCTTTTAATCTGCAGGTATGCAATTCAGCAGGAAGAGTAAATCAAGTCAAGCAGTTTGGGAGAGAGCTTACTGGAAGGAATCAATACGGGAAAGTGAGCTAATAAAGAAATGGGAGAGGAGGGCCACATCTTGAAACTCTGTGAAAGCGCACATCTGAGAGTGAGCAGTGAGGGTAGCAAGAGTGTTGAGAAAGCTTCAAAGAGAAATAAAATGGAAAAAGCTAACATAAGAAGTGAGGCAAATATTCAGTTTCTGTTAATGCAAGATAACTTTTTCCTCTCTTGTGTCCAGTGCAGGAGAAAGAAATCAAATCAAAATTGCAAAGAATACTGATATAAAAAAATAATAATAATAAGTATCTTCGTGAAAATAAAGGTATCTAGGAATAACAATCATGACCCCTAAAGAAAAAATAAATAAATAAAAAATTAATTGCTGGGCAACTTCTCATTTTGCAGTTTATTAACATGCTATTACATCAGTGCACTCATTTACTATGCCTCTCAGGCTTAAACTATTATCATTTTAAAGTGCAAGGTTTAAAAATAACATGAAAAAACTGAAAGCAGTTTTCATATATAAATATTCTAAAACTAGGTAATCAGGCAACTAAATGAGCAAAATCATCACTCAGAGTTCAACTTTAACAGACCTTTGGAAAAGCAGTCTAAACAAAACACAAAATAAAGAAAATACTGTAATTACACTTTTTACCTGTTTCATATACTACATACCCATAAGATCTCGAACTTCCTCAGCTTCTGTAATCATTCTTGACAGGCCAAAGTCAATCAATTTAATGTGTTGTCGGTTCTTACTTAGCAGCAAAACGTTTTCTGGCTGTAGATATTTATACAACTTGTCAGTGTTTCTATCTTTCAATTATCATAGATCTCTTTTCTTTATTTATTATACACAAGGCCTCTCACTTTGTATACTTTTACATTTAGCCTTCTATAACATAGACCTTACTATACTACCATTCTCTTTTTTTTTTTAAGAACACATAAAAGATACCAATAAAAATTCCCAAAATTACCTTTAAATCTAGATGAGCAATGTTGTTTGAATGCATATGTGTCACCCCTTGGAGGATCTGCCGCATAAATGCAGCAGCCTCTTCCTCTGACAGTCTCTCCCTCTCACTGATGTGTTCAAACAGCTCTCCACCCCGCACCCTGTAGGCAATAATCACCTCATTAAACACAATATTCAAAAGCTAGAGTTTATAAATTTAATCCATTATTACAAGCCAAAGAATTTTTTATAAATAACATTAAACAACTGAGTTTTTGACTGTGCTATTCGCCAAGAATTTACACATACAAAAGTATCTTAACTGCAATTAGCCAATTACAATATTCATCACATTTTGATAGTGAAAAAAATGAAGACAGGCTATGCCCAAGGACTTCAGAAATAGTTAAATGACTACAATAAAAAACAAGCTTCACTAAAACATATTATACTTACAGTTCCAGAACCAGTATGACATGTTGCCCATTGTCAAAAACACGATACAAGGAAATAATATTCTGGTGGTTGTGCAGCTTCTGCAATACCCTCACTTCCCGTGCAATGGACTCAAGTGGTAGACCTCGTCTTGAGTTTGCCACTCGACGTTTTCTAATATATTTTGCTGCATATTCCGTGCGTGTTTCCTTCTCTATGCATCGTCTAACTACTGCAAATTGTCCACTGAAAGAGAACATGATACTGCAATCAGCTGTTTATCAAATAATAAACAATTAATATCATTTTCACATAAGCCCTTCCATTCATCATTGTCACTATCAACACAATCACATCATGTCACCAACATCATTATCATCTCCATTACCATTCTCATTACCATCAACACCAACTGCAACAGCACCTGTAATTCTTTACTTGCCAAAGACTAACAGCCGGTTTATTAAAATTGTGATAGGTCCTACCCAATGAATATTCATTATGCTGACATGCATATACACAGAAAAGTATTCATATCTATCAGTCTAAACATACATATCTACCAGATAGACAGAAAGATGAATGTATACATATCTGATTGATAGATATGCATTCATTTCTATGTATATGCATGTCTGTATATATGAATATTCATTGGGTGGGGCCTTGCAGTTCCCAGCTCCATGTCGCAATTTCTTTTTTCCTTTAAGTTGGCTGCCGCCAACAACCCCTGGCAAATATTTTTTTCACTTCAGGTAAAACACAAGTGAAACTAGAGAGCACCAGGTGGAATTAGGCTGTGAGCCATGCTTTCCGTAATACTTTTCTTCCTCTGCAAAAATATTGTCTTCAATTTACCTCAGGTTAGTCCATCCACACCATAAATATTAAATGTAGCAGTATCAATATCAATATCAACATCAACATCAACATCAATCATCATCATCAACATCAACATCAACATCAACATCAACATCAACAACAACATCAACATCAACATCAACATCAACATCAACATCAAATCAGCATCAGCATTAGTATTATTAAACTCATCAATGTCAGCAATACCTAATTTCAAACATAATTTTTAAAAATCAAAAACTTTTGGAAAAGGACAAATAGGTGAGACTGGTAGGAGTAGTAGTTCACTCCTTAGTGATTAAGTACTTGTGGAGCCATCTATGTGTAAAATACAGTCAATAAATTTAAATCACATTGGACATGGCATGTCTGAAGTTACTCCTGAGTTTGAGTAATTTCTGACTAATGTGCATAACTTCTAATATTTACTGAATTTGCTACCCTGGGACATTGTAGAAGTGTCTAAAAATTAACAGAAATCACATAAAAGTTGTAAATGAAATAAGCAAAAAAAAATTTTTTCCTTTTTTCCTACATACTGAATAGTCTATTGCAATTATAATATGCAGCAATGTGGTAACATTGCAATGAAAATAATCAGAAATAATTCATAAACTTTTTCCAAGCCAGAGCAATTAACATAGTCCATCCAGTAGACTTAAACATAGAACAAAGTAAGAATGGCCTTTCTTGTTGCCCAACTACACATA